TCAGTATTTAACATTTTATCATAGGTAATATTCTATATATTACTTGTGATTTTATGCTAAAATGTTTAGTTTTGTGAAATATTATACCTATAATATTTAAACGAGTTCCTGAATGTACAATTTGTTTATCACGATGTCAAGTTCTAAAATCTTGTATTGGTTGTCTAAAACTGTTTGATTTTGCTTAGTTATATTGTATCCTATATTTTATTAAACAAACTCGAAATAATGTTTATAATTACCTTCATCAGCCTTCATATCATTAAAGTGATAATAATAATCACTTATCATTATCAGTCATTATGTAGTTATTTGTTCATTTGTTGCTCTGTTTGTTGTTGTTTGTTTTCAAAGATCATTTTTGAGGTTAATGTCATATGAAACTTTTCGTAATTAGGGAACTGGTAATTGACGTGTGACGATAGATTAATAAAATAATAATGAACGTATTAAGTTAAATATTTATATATTAATTTAACATATCTATTTCATGTTTATAAATTACATAATTTTTAATTTGGTATAGTACCTTTAATTTTATATATTCATAATGAAATGAAATATATTTCGATATAACGTTTGGCAACCACGCAACTGAAGTGCAAGCGACATCTGTGCAAGAGAAGCAAAACCTCCCAAAAAAGTGAGAAAAGAAATCTAAAAATTTCAGATTATTCAAATGTCACTCCAATATTTTTCCAAATTGGAGTGAAATTAGGGTGACAATTTTTAACACGTAAGGAGCCATCTGGATTATGTGTTATCTGTGATAGAACCTTTCAGACACACAAATCTATTATACAGCATGGCTATGCAGTGGAAATCGCTGTAGTTTTATTTGTAAAATTATATAGGAAATGTCATCAACCGTCATTTCCAAGCCAACTGGACGCCGTTTTTTTTTCGATCACACGTTGCTTCTTAAAGCCAAGTGGCAGTATGCGCCGTTAAAAAATAAAAGCCTTGTTCATGTAGACGCGAATCGCGAATCGCGATTTTGCGAAACTGCTCTCATTGGTCCAATTTTAATGATCATGGCGGCGCTGTCAGAAATTTTAAGATTTTGGTGAATCGCAAGATTTAAAATTTGGGTGGCGGGAAAGTTAAAGTGTTTTCAACTTTTTGCGAATATTCGCGCGATTTAAAAGTTCGCGTTTGCGCAGAATGGTGTTGTGATCCAGTTATCGATTATTTTGACGACGCTGCCACAAAGTACAAAGTAACTGAAAGCATTTCTCCAGGTGAAATAGGTTCTCGTGCATATGTTTTTGTTATATATGGTGACAATTTTTCAACCAAGTTATCAAACTCCTGTACAGACAATCTGTGAAAATTCCTAAATTTTTTCTCATCTTTTGTCCTCATTTCTTGAATTAAATTGCGATAAGCACCTTGTTGCTTACGAAATTTAAATATTTCACATGTCCCAAATGACCTATACTATAAACCCGTGCTCTTCTACGTTTTAACAATTAGTAAATGGCAATTTTGCGCCTTCTGTTCCAATCCCACAATCGTAATCAATATTCATAATCATTAAACAAATTTAAACTCATATTGTATGCTATAAAATATAAAATAAAGATCGTAAATACGAATAAAAAACAAATTAAGTTATCTCAGGACCCTCAGGTTATGATTTTTTTTGGTACCTAACTTTCAGTGGAGCAAAAATGAAATGTCCCTAAAAATTCCCGACTATATGAAATAGGTCCAAATTTTACGAATATTTTTTGGCGAATCGCTTTCCGCAATTCGCAATTCGCGTCTACAGAAACAAGCTAAACAAGAGTACGGACCAAGTAAATGACATCTAGGCTTTGACCTCGGCAAAATTATCATCATTCCTTTAGCCGTCTTTGACGCCGTTTTTTTTCGAACGTATGGTATTTGTTAGATAAGATTGCACAAATAAAGTTAAAGGTATATAATACGATATAATAACGCCGCTACTGGGTGTTTCAATACCAGTCAATATTTCCACTATTTTCAGGGGGGGAGGCATAAAATAAGGGTTAGCACTGGCCAATAGGACAATTTTAAGGCGCATGCCTACCGCTTGGTAACAAAAAATAAAAATAAATGAAAGAAGTCAGTTAAATTAATATACATCTAATAACAAGAACTAAGTTATAACTTCTTTAGATGCATTTGTCAGATGATATAATGGTGTAGTTAAACCAAAGCTTGATTTTCATGCATCCGTTGTCCGACGATACGATGATATGATATTAATTTTATTGGTTGAATTTAAAGACTTCGATTGGTTAGAAAATTACACAATTTTTAAATTTATTGCATTTTCATGCCTCCATTCATTGTGTCATGATTGGTGTCATTTTATATTTTCATTTCCATAACTATTTCGCTGTTTTTTAACTGGTTCTTTAATATATTTTTTGCTATACTCTCCTGAACAGAGTGCGTCTGGCTACCAGTAGACCTTGCGTTCACTACTGCGCATCATATCTGTATTCAACATCTGTTTACTACTGCGCATCACAAATTCGCCTTGTATTTCAGGAACTAAGGAGGCTAGGACAAACCTATGTGTAGCATATTTAGTTTCATAAAAAAGTAGCAAAGTAATGTGAAAATCGCATCATTGTATCTCTACGCATAAAGGAGAAATCCGATAAAACACACGAAAATGGGATATCCTGTACAGATGTGATGCGCAGTATTGAACCGCAATAGTCTACCGGCAACCAGACGGCTCGCACTTTGGTCAGGAGAGCATAGCAAAAGATATATTAAAGAACCAGCTTTCTTAAAATTTCGATTGTCTACAGTGAAAAAAAAAATTGGCGCTGGGAGGCACGTATAGCCGTCCATACTAAAATATGTTAATAAAAAGTTGGTAGGCAGTTCTTTTAATTTCAAAGTAAAGGAATTTTCCAATTTTTTTTATCTCAAAAACTACGATTTTGACTGATTTTGATGTTATTACAAATTTTGTTGCAAATATTATTCCTAATCTTAAATTGAAAACCGCGTTTCGCTAGCCACTGTAATTTTGGAGTAACGATTTTTTAAAATTTTTAACCCCCTCCCATACCCCCTTACCAACCCCCCACCCCCACCAAAAACTAATGGCCAGATTCTCGGGTGTCACAGTATTTTTTTGCCAAATTGGGTTAAAATCGGTTTAGCGGTTTTTGAGTTATCGTGTTACAGACGGACAGACAGACAGACACCATGAAAATATTTTGTATTTACACCTAAGATTTACACACACCGGAAAAATCTAGGGATATCATTTTATTAAAGTTAAAAATATATGTTTTGAATAAACAACCACATATTTGTGGCCGATTCTTTCTACTTCGATTCAGAAACGAAGTAGTCACACTAGCTATTTCTAAATTTGGGATATTTGCAGAAGTGTTTTTTGTCAAATGTATAAAAAGCACTAGCATCAATTGTTAGAATTTAACCTGTAGTGGCTATGTTTTTATGATAATTGGCCAGAATTCATTCAAATAACTCTGTTCAGTATTAAACGACATTATGGAGCGTAGACATCTTAACAGAGACGAAATACTAAGGGCCATGGGTATGCTCGAAGCTGGAATGCGCCAAATCGACGTAGCCAGAGCATTAAATACAACGCAAAGTGTAATATCGCGATTAAGTGCACGCTACCGTGAAAGTGGTGATGTTGCTGAAAGGCACACAGAGCATTACTACTCCTCAGCAAGATCATTTTTTACAATTAAATGCTCGACGCCGACCGACTCTTACAGCACCAGAGCTTAGTTTAATTCTCCAGGAAACACATAATGTATCCGTTAGTCCTGACACTGTTCGCAATAGATTAAGAGAGGTCAACTTAAGAAGCAGACGCCCCTGGAGAGCTCAACCCTTAACGAGAGGAAATCGAGAAGTACAATATTTGTGGGCTCAAGATCATGTTCAGTGGTCGAATGAACAATGGGCCAATGTTCTCTTCACGGATGAGTCACGCTTTGGAATTCATCCGGATTCGAGAAGGCTTAGGGTATGGAGAGAACCGGGAAATCTTATTCGGTTGGATCATGTTCAGGAAGTGCACCCTTATCAAGGTGGAACAGTTATGGTCTGGGGAGGAGTCCAGTTAGGCCGAAAAACCGATCTCGTTTTTCTTTAAAGGTTTCTAACAGAATCGCATATGGTGTTTCAATTTTTGAGCCTGTCGTGTTACCATATGCCAATGATTTTGGGAGAAACTTCATTCTCATGCATGACAATGCACGGCCTCATACAGCCAGAGTGGTAAGTGAGTTTATCAATGCTCATCAATTAAACATCTTACTCTGGCCGGCACAATCTCCTGACCTCAACCCCATCGAACACGTATGGGACGCGGTCCAAAGAAGAATTTTGAGAATGGGTATGCCTCGTGAAACTCCTAAGGATCTGGTTCGGGCCGTGAATGCAGCGTGGCAGGCTGTACCTCAAGAAGAGATCGACAACCTGATCAGGAGCATGGAGAGACGATGTAGGGCTGTAATGAACAGTAGAGGAGGCCATACCCTTTATTAAGTAAAAATGGTTTTATCTTTTTTTTAATTCACAGTTTAGAATAAAAAAAAAAATGTGTATTTTTTTGAGTTCAATAAAAATCAAGGTAAATTTGAAAAATTCGGTAAATTTCGCATTTTTATTTCCAATACGTCCTGTAAACTATTTGTTTATTTTAATTTTATTATATCAGAAATGCAAATAATAAAATTACTGACGATGGCTGGATAAAATTGCAATATCCCTAGGCTTTTCCGGTGTGTGTAGTTCATTTATGACCCAAATAACTCATTTTGAGTGAAATTAAAAAAACTTTTTTTTGCCGATCTTAATAATAGCCTACCATACCTATTGGTATGGTCGGCTAATAAGTAAATTTGTAAAAAATAGTATGGATATTACAGAATCTTTATAAGCGTGTTTTAGAAATCTAACATTTTTGCATAATTTTACACAAATATGATTACATTTGACGTTTTTTTTCGTCCGCTATCTAGGTCGAGTCCATGACAAAACAAGAAATCGAATTCGACACTCCGTTTAGGGAGCTGGGATTCCCAGGAGCTCCGTTCCGTTCAACAGTATTACTCCAGCCCACTTCCGGTTGTCTGGTCACTCTGACAGAATGGCCGCCGTTCGTGATCACTCTGGAAGACGTGGAATTGGTTCATTTCGAAAGAGTTCAATTCCATCTGAAGAATTTCGATATGGTGTTTGTGTTCAAGGATTATCACAGGAAAATTGCGATGGTGAACGCCATTCCCATGAACATGCTGGATCACGTGAAGGAGTGGCTCAATTCGTGCGATATAAGGTATGGAGATTTTTTTGACCCACCCTAATAGAGAAATTTAACCATGTTTTTAACATTTCATTTGAATTCAGTTAATTCAAAATTATGTTATCTTAGAAAAAAATAACTTAATTAATTGGAAGCAAAATGATACTAAAATAGATATTATAAAATGGGATTTTCAAAAATTTTTTTTGGAAGATATTTCCTAATGCAGCATACAAAAAAAAAACGCGCGTCCAGTTTTATTTTGCTACATACTTCTTAATTATTTACAGATATTCTGAGGGTGTACAGTCTCTAAATTGGGCGAAAATTATGAAAACCATTACGGATGATCCAGAGGGCTTCTTTGAAAGCGGAGGTTGGACCTTCTTGGATCCAGAATCAGATGAAGAACAAGTGGTAAGTATTTTTTTAGTACTTAAAGTAGTAAGTCTTGTTTTCTCATAGTAATTCTATTTTTTATTGGTCTTTTAGTAGTTTTTTTGTAGTTTATGGATGTTTATTAATTATTGTTGATTTATTATTTACTGTTTTTATTTGATTATTTTTTTCAGGCAGAAGAAGAGACAGACGATGAAGACGAAGCATATAGACCGTCCGATTTGGAGTCAGTTTCTGAGGAGAGTGATGAAGACTCCGAGTACTCAGAAGGAGACACGGAAGAAAGCGACAGTGCTTCGCTAGACGACGAATTAGGTTAGTATTGAAAGAAAACACTTACTTTCAAGAATCGTTTACTTTTACTTAAAAAAAAATGGTAAATGTGTTTTCTCTTTTGCGGAAAAATATAAAATATATCTGAAATTTTTTAGAATATTTAAACGACTTGGAAACGTGGTAAGATAATATGGCGCCAGTAGTTTTTAAAAATTTGTAGAATATTTTAGGGCACTCTATGTTTACTTATTTCTCTTAGGCGTGCGGAAAGAGACAAAATATCTGTAATTTTTAGTTGACTTTTAAACGAATTGGCAACATAGTACGATTATTTCTGTCTAATAGGGCGGCAGTAGTTTATAAAAAAATTTAAGAATATTTTAGGGCACTCTATGTTTACTTATTTCTCTTAAAGGTACGGAAAGAGACAAAATATCTGTAATTTTTGGTATTTTTAAACGACTTGGCAACTTGGTACGATTGTTTTTGTCGAATAAGGCGTCAGTGGTCTCAACATTTTCAATAATATTTTAGTGTCCTCTACGTTAACTTATTTCTCTGAGAGATGTAGACAGATGGAGACAGTGGTTTTTTAGTAAATATTTTTAAACGACTTGGCAACGTGGCATGATTATTTCTGTCAAATGGCGCCGGCGGTTTTCAAAACGTTTAAGCAATATTTTAGGGCACTCTATGTTTACTTATTTCTCTGAGAGATTCAGAGGGAGACATCATATCTGTAATTTTTAGTATTTTTAAACGACTTGGCAACTTGGTACGATTGTTTTTGTCGAATAAGGCGTCAGTGGTCTCAACATTTTCAATAATATTTTAGTGTCCTCTACGTTGACTTATTTCTCTGAGAGATGGAAACAGAGATAAAATAACTGTGGTTTTTTAGTAAATATTTTTAAACGACTTGGCAACGTGGCATGATTATTTCTGTCAAATGGCGCCGGCGGTTTTCAAAATGTTTAAGCAATATTTTAGGGCACTCTATGTTTACTTATTTCTCTGAGATTCAGAGAGAGACATCATATCTGTAATTTTTAGTATTTTTAAACCACTTGGCAACATGGTACAATTATTTCTGTCGAATATGGTGCCGGTGGTTATTAAAATTGAAAATTTTAGGGTCCTCTGTGTTTACTTATTTCTCTGTGAGTTGCTGAAAACAATAAAATATCTGCAGTTTTTTTTTCAAAGACTTGGCAACATACGATTCACAATTGCACGATTATTTCTGTCGAATATGGCGCCGGTGGTTTGGTTTGGAATTTTTAGAATATTTTTGGGTCCTCTATGCTTACCTATTTCTCTGAGAAGTTACCATAAACTTTATATGTAAAAACAAACCAACCTATATTGATTTTCACGGTACATTAGCTCGATATTCTTTGTTCTTTTTGTGGCTTTCTTTGTTTACTTATTTCTCTGAGCACCATAAACGAGTTCAAATTATTTTTTTTATTGCCCTCTATGTTTATTTATTTCTCTAAGAGGTTACCATAAGCAATTTTAAAAACCAAAACAAGCAAAACCTTAATGATTTGTACAATAGATTAACTGGACATTATTTATTTTTTATTTCCCTCTATCTTTACTTATTACCTTGAGAGGTTACCATAAACAACTTTAATAAGCCGAATCAATCAAATCTTTAATGATTTCTAATTTCTACGATACATTAGCTTGATATTATTTATTTTTTGATATATCTACAGGGTCAGATGAAGAATCTGGCAAGGACTGGTCCGACTTAGAAAGAGAAGCAGCGGAAGAAGATAGAGAACGAACATACGAGGACTTTGATGACAGAAAAGGAGGCAGCAAAGGAAGCAAATTCCCCTCGAAGGACAAGCACAAATCGTCCAGCAAACATTCCAGCTCCAGCTCGAAGCACAACAGCAGCCACAAGAGCGGTTCGAGCAGTAGACATTCGTCTTCGAAGCATAACAGCAGCAGCAGCAGTAGAGATAAAGGTTAGTAAAGGTTTTAAACTATTTTTTCATGTGTTTTAGGTATAGTTTGTTTAATGAGAGGATATGTGACAGTGACAGTTGTGTCTGTCATTTTAATTTAACAATCTTCTGTCGAATTCGTCGATTGATTCTAAAAAAATCTAAAATGTCAATATTCCACGGGTATATTGATAAATGAGGTCTAAATTACAGGAAAATGACTTTTTTACGAATACTTCAAGAGATACTTAAAAAATGGTATAAAACGATTTAATAGACAATTAATATGTGCATCTGATTCGTGTAAAACATACAAGGCGTTCCATTTAAATTAAACAAGTTATTGCCGTTTAAAGCTAGTAATCTATACTAATATATAAAATCCTTAAGTGACTGACATACTGATTAATCACGATCCTGCTCAAACCACTCAACGTAAGAAGCTCAATTTTGGCATACAGGTTGATTCTAGGGTGTAGAGGTTCGATAAGAAGGGATTTTTCGAAATTCCAGTTCCAAGAGGGTGAAACCACCCCTCAAATATTACAATATTTTTTATTTAAAAAACGGTCAAGTTTCCGAAAAAACGCTTAAACACGTATATTTTATTTTGTTTTTTTACATATTTTAATTTTTTTTATAAATGTGTACAAGGTGTTTCGAAAAATATGGTCATTGATTAATCACGATCCTGCTTAAAGCCCTTGACGTAAAAAGCTGATTTTTGGAAAACAGATTGACTTTAGGGCGTAGAGGTTCGATAAGAAGGGATTTTTTGAAACTCGAATTCTAAGGGGGTGAAACTATACCTCAAATATTAAAATATTTTTTATTTAAAAACCGGTGAGTTTTTCGGAAAAACTCTTAAACACGTATATTTTATTTTGTTGTTTTACATATTTTAAGAGTTTTTAAAAATTTATACAGGGTGTTTCATAAAATCTGACCATTGAGTAGTCACGACTCTGCTTAAACTGCTTGACGTTTAAAGCTGATTTTTGGCAAACGGATTGACTGTGGGGTGTAGAGGTTCGATAAGGGGGGGTTTCTCGAATCTCAATTTCCAAGAGGGTGAAAACGCTCCTCAAATATTACAATATTTGTTATTAAAAAAACGGTTAGTCTTTCGGGAAAACGCTTGGACAAGCATAATTTATTTGTTTTTTACATATTTTGAACTTTTTTTAAAAAATCACCCTGTATGATTTTTTAAAAAAAGTTCAAAATATGTAAAAAACAAATAAATTATGCTTGTCCAAGCGTTTTCCCGAAAGACTAACCGTTTTTTTAATAACAAATATTGTAATATTTGTTATTAAAGCGTCCAGCAGTTCCAAACATAAATCATCTTTCCAAAAAGTTTGGTAATTACTTAACCACGATTCTGCTTAAACTGCTTGACGTAAAAAGCTTATTTTTGGCAAATGGATTTTTCGAAAGTCAAATTCCAACGAGATGAAACTACCCGTCAAATATTACCAAGTTTTATAATAATATCGCCACATTGTTTTTTCTCATGCTGACATAAATGTGAGAAAATTTTATCCAGTTTGTATGTTAATGGAAATTCTTGCTTTGCTTATCATCATCATTACAAATGATTAATTCGACGCGAAGTCGCTGGTACACGCTAGTTATTAAATATAAAATTTGAGACACTCTGTATAGGGTAATATAATTTTTATTATTGCAACACAAAATTTAGTAGAAATTTTTTAAAAATTTAGAGAAATGAAGCATTAAAATTGTCACTGCATTTTCACAAAATCGTAAATATTTCAATAACGGTAATATTAAAGTGCGTTAAATTATAATCAAATTTACCTTTATTTTAATCGAAGGAACTAAAAATGTAATAATATACAGGGTGTTTCGTTTAAAAAATACAACTTTGATATTTTTTAATTATTTGGGATACTTTGTACCTTTTGAAAATAATTTTAAATGTAGCTTTAGTAGTCCTCCAACGATCCCATCGCTCAGAATTTCTAAAAATCTGATCTTTTGACTACAATACCCCTAGTCGAATGACACCCTGTATATCGCTTAATATTTTGATTACAGATCGCAGCAAAGATAAGAGCAAAGACCGACACTCTTCGTCCAGCAGTTCCAAACATAAATCATCTTCTTCTTCGAGAGACAAAGACAGACACAGTTCATCGTCCAAAGATAAAAGGAGTTCGTCCTCTCCACATAAAAAACGCAGCAGAGAAGACGACGATGACAAACATCGTTCGAAGAAATCAAGAAAATAAACAAACAAACAACAAATACACAAAGAAGAAAAAAAACTATATATTTTGTAATATTTTTTGATTTTTATGCGATCGTTGGAACGTCAATTTTCTTCGAAGATCTGAGTTTTTTCAGGTAAGGAAGTTTTTTTTGGACACTCTCTGGTTCGTTATTTTTCTGGTTTTAAAGTCGTTCTCACAAAAAACAAACAACTCGGTGTTAATAATATTACGGTTTTCTTAATTTATTTTGTGTTTTTAAGGCTTTTGATTCTTTTAGAAATTCACTTTTGTTTATAACATAATATATTATACTGTGTGGTCAAAAATGTCGTGCTAAATAAATTTTAAAAACAAATCTTAAGATTGGTCAATTTTTTATCATTTTGAATTGAAATAATTTTTTTTCTATTTAATGTCGTGGGTACCTTATACAGGGTGTTTTGTAAAATAAGCGCGAAAATTTTAACGTATCGTATTTCGACCCCGGACTAGGGATGGGCAATAACGGATTTTACCTATCGATAAGTTATTGCAATTTGATTATCGATGTATTTTAGTTATCGATATTATGTCGGTAATAGCCGATATATCGATAATTCATTAATTATCGAACTTCCGGATAGTTATTCGTTTATCGATAAATACCCCAGACTAGGGATGGTCGATAATGGATTTTCCATATCGATAAGTTATCGCAATTTTCATCTATCGATGTATTTTAGTTTCCCATATATCGATGAATCATTAACTATCGAACTATCTATAGTTATCTGTTTATCGATAACTATCGATATATAAAGATAACGGGTATTGTATTTAGACTTCAAACTAGGGATGGTCGTTCATGGATTTTCCATATCGATAAGTCATCGCAATTCGTCTGTCGATATGTCGATAATTATCGATATAATCATCAAAATATCGATAACTCGAAAATTATTATCAAGTTATCGATAACTATTGGTTTACTGAAAACTATCGATATATAAAGTTAATTTTGAAGAAACCTATTTTTCTTTGATATATCGAGAGTTATCGATATATAAAAAAAAACATCCCTAGTCGTAAGTATCAATTATAAAAAGTGATTTTATGAAATTTTAAGAAAACCTGAAACTATAATTTTGAATATCGAATTAAAAACCTCCCTACCCTAGTCGCGCGCCAGTAAGTTTTTTTAATAAAAAAAAATGTTTCATTAAAATTTCGTACTTTTCCTAAATTGTTCTTCAATATTTGGGAAAACCTTTGAGATCTGAAGGTTCATCATATATTTTCCTAACCTAATTTTAATGCCTACAACGTTGTCATTTCTTACCTAACCGACATAATTGAAAAATACTTAAAAAAACACGTTTTCGATCTTTCGATCTGAAAAATACTTAAAAAAACACTCCTCCTATAGGCGACGTGTAAAAAAGTGTGCTTTAAGTTCCTTTTAAGTTAAATAAAATACTTTCGTGTCAACGTGGCAACATTGGTACTAGATATAATTTAGAAACAGAAAACATGAATAAACCAGCGGCTCTCAAAATGCTTTTTAAAATTTTTAATAAACACCTGTAGAAGAAAATTTTTTGTCAATCTAGGTCTCAAAAATAAACTGTTCTACAAAAATATCCTCTTTTTGATTTGTTGGCTTAAAAAAGTTTTTTTTTCGCACGTTTTTACAAGTTTTTAACATCCTTTACAAAATTGGATGCCCATATATTATTTGTTTCTTTTAGATTTAAGTTTATTTTAAATAAAAAAAAACAAACTGATTAAATGTCAACTGTGGATCAATGTTAAATGTTAGATGCAAACTGTACGTTTAGCTTTTTTTTTCTAAAATATTATATTGTTTCGTCTCCAATGAATAAAAGTTACTCTACTCATTAAGTACTTATTATAAGTTTCATAGTTTAAATAAAATATTTCAAGTTCTTTTACTATGCTTGTTGTGTTATTTTTCCCATATTTTCATGTAAAGGTGGGTATTCACTTGCCACAAAACACTTCGAACGAACCAAACGTGCCGCGCGCGCTGTAACTAATTTGTGTAGTCAGTAGCTTTTTTCGTTTTCCTGTTATTTCCGATTCTGAACCGTCCTAGAACTCTGCAGCGCATGCGCATATGAATAATGTCTTCATATTTCCTTCTGCGCATACGCATCACAGTTCTAGGACGGTTCAGAATCGGTAATAACAGGAAAACGAAAAAAGCTAGTACGTTGCGCCAAACCGAACCGAACGCGCCAAACATTTTCCGAAGCTTGTCGGTAAACGGGATTTGCTCAAAAGAATTTGTTCGTTGGCCGGTGTTCAGTGGATACGGCAGTTTTGAACGTTCGTTGTGTTTGTGGTGCTTTTAAACTGCGCCTAGCTATGGAGTGGAACAGAGAAAAGTGTTTAGAGTTAATTGATGAGTTTGAGAAGCAGCCTATTTTATGGGACCCGACAAATGGGATATATTATAACAAAGTAAAGAAGCATGATGCTTGGGTGGCAATTTCTAATAATAGTATATATAGGGTGCACCGCAACTAGGACCTACTAAGCATATTAGATTCTCAAAATCTTCTGCAGCCATCCTTATAAAATTTTTCATATGTATATAATCTAGAGGTCACTAAGTAAGGCCACGTTTTGACGGGGCAAAAAGAGGCGTCTTGCCCACATTTTTCGTTCTTTCCTTTTTTCTCTTTTTTGTTACCCGCTAATGCCTCTATAATTAAAAAAGCACCAGCTGCTATGGTGATATCAGATGCATCCATGTCGACGAACACACTAACACTGGTTACTGGTGGGAACGCAGCGATCACCGCAAACAGGCGGAACGCTCCGCGCAAAATGTTTTGTTGCAGGTCGTTCAGAGCGCGCCCGGAAAATGTTTTGTTGCAGATTGTTAACACCTGACCTTAACAGTAGCACTTTTATACCATACGATCGAAAAAAAAACGGCGTCAGACGGCTGGGGAATAAAAATCGATGATAATTTTGGCGAGGTCAAGCCCTAAACGTTATTTTGCTTGTTTTTTTTACATATATGTAATTAAAGTAATTCGTATATAGGGTGTCCTCCCAGGCCGAGCGTGTATTAGAAGTTTCCAAAGAACTATAATATCTAGATCGAACCAAACCAAACCAAACCAAACCTCAACGAGATCTGTCGATTAAAAATATTTTCAATATGGCGACACTTCCGGAAATACCGGAAGTTGACAGCAACTTTCTTATTTTAAATGGGCACCCCCATTTTTTATTACATACTTGAATTATCTTTAACATTTTCGTAAATATAACAAGATCTTTGCATAAACACGGGGATTCTGCAGAAATTTAAAATGTCAGTTAATGCTAAGAAATTAAAAAAAAATCAAAATACAATACAATAGCCGATGGTTTAGAAAAAAACGTTAGACTCTATAAGCTTAATTTTAATGAAAATGTTCGTTTAAATAGGCTTTAATGTGTGAATATAATTAATTAATTAAATGACGATATTACTGATAAGTTTGCATCAATAAAGAACAGAAAAATTGAGCTGATTTACAAAAATTAGTAAGGTTAGTAATATAAATAAGTCAAATTTATTTTGGTTAATATTGCTTAGTAAACATTAATGTAATAATAATTAATGTAATAATTGAATGGCTCCTCGGTTCTAACCAACAATTTTTTCAATATCGAAATTTTCATGAAAAAACCGAGGAAAAAACGCTATACCTATGAAAATTACAACCTTATTTCACTGAAATCTCTATTTTGAAAAAAATGTCGGTTACAACGTTATTCGGGGAAGCCATTCAATAATTACAGTGTTCGCCATAAAATTGGATCCATATGGACGGTTTTTTTGGTATTAGAGTTTAAAAAAGCTTTTTGTGGCTCTCAATTCTGCTTTAAAAAAAACTTAAAATGCACCAAGTCAAAGTTGAAACATAATTTTGTTGGTCACTTTTTTTAAAATAATAATAATTTTACCAATTTTTAAACATTTCTTTTAAATATTTTGTATTTGACAGCTTCCAGATGTTACCTGTCAACTTTGGCTTGGTGCATTTTAAGTTGTTTTCAAAGCAGAAGTGATTGCCACAAAAAGATTTTTTAAAACTCTAATATAAAAAAAAAACGTCCATATGGATCCAACCTTATGGTGGACACTGTATATAATGTTTATTATATTTAATTTAAATTTAATTATATGTTTACTGGAATGCAAAATAATGTGTTTATCGAAAATTGGTTGTATCTCTTTTTACTTAATGCGTTTTAGCCCAAACTAAAACGAAAATATTATAGGTATTAGTGTAAAAATAATAACAAAAAAAAAATGTCGACAAAATGGTGAACGCAGCAAAAATTTTTCAAATAATATTTTAAAAGATGTTGACAAAATGGTGAATGCGCCAAAAAATTTTCGACTGCGGCGCAATTTAAGAAAAAATCCTCCTATTTTTTTACCCACGAGCCGCCATTGGTTTGATATCAAAATTCATAAAACTTTACGTAGAATTTAAGTATATAATAAAAAATGAGGGTACACAAATGCTTAGAAAAAATCTCCGATCTAGATATTGTAGTTCTCTAGAAACTTCTAATGCACGCTCAGCCTAGAAGACCCTGTATATCCATTTCTCTCAAATACCGTATGATCGAAAAAAACGGCGTCCAGTTGGCTTGGAAATGACGATCGATGACATTTCCGATATAATTTTACATACATATAAAATGACAGCGATCTTTATTTCATAGCCATCGTTGACGCCGTTTTTATTCGATTATACGGTATATTCCCTCTTATTGGAATATTCTTTATTACCCTGTATTTGGGAGGTTATAAGCTTTAAAAAAATGAAAAAGAAAATCCAGGTCTGCATTTAAAAATAAACTAAAATAGAAAACAGAGAAATAAACAGGAGGAACAAAAACAATTCTTTTAAGCTTTATTTGAATTTTATTTTTTTTAGGAAATATAGTAGGCAATAATAATATTTATATAAGAACAATACTTTTAAATCTCATTTATAATTGGGTATAAAAAATAATAATGTGTATAACAATCTCTTGACTCATTGATATGTGAGAAATATGATAATTTTCTAAGCCTTCATTAATTGATAATTGACTTAGGGATATGTATATAAAGACTATTATATCAATAAAAATAAACATAATATAGAGAGTCTAATTTAAAATTCTCAATTCGACACTATCTATGGCGTTAAATAAGTTTTTCTTATCACTTCCTTTGATCCCTTGTTTTTCAAATGTTCTCAGTTGATTTTCTAAATCCCCTGTATCTTTGTCGGCTGCCAAGTAAATATCTATGCACGTATGTAACAACGGTATGTATATTTCCAGTAAATCACTATCACTAGAAAGGAGAAAAAATATATGCCAAACTGTATAATAAAAAACCGCGTTATGGTAGGCTTGTATTTACCTGATCCCATTAAATCTGTATATCGCCAATTCGGCCCATTTTACGTTATTTTCGTCTATAGGCAATTTGGCAAGCACGCCTACCAATTTAGATAACGTTAAAATAACCGCTGGAGATCTATCTAAACACACCTAAAAAAATTAATATCCTAATATATACACAAATATTTTTTTATAGCTAAATTGTAATTAAACGTATACCTTATTAATCAATTTAAAGTTTTTCTCTAAAACTTCATAAGCACTCTTGTAATTGTCCTCCTGAATGTATTCTTTAGCTATTGACAATTCGGGCTCTTGTAAAAACACTTGCATTGCTTTCGAAGACCTAAGTATACTCTTACTGGCTATATAGTTTAGTAAACCTTCAAATTGCATGCTTCTATTTGATATAAGTTCATTTTCGAAGTTTCCAAAGAGCACTTTTCTTGGGAACACTATGTCTTGAATTAATAACGGGTAATTTTCGTATAAGGATTCATAAAGGTTGAAGAAATGCGTGTATCTTCGTTCTATAACTGAGGGGCTCATATCATCGTTACCAGTCAAAAATCTCACTTGTACTGTGTAAAGGACATGTTTTCTGGTTTCTTCGGTTTCCTCAACTATTCGGGCAGACCGTATTTCGAAAATTAATCCTTGTTTCTCTGAACCTACACGACATAAAAATTACTTTGGATCTAAACGTTTATTTTTCGAACTTACTTAAAATCTGTGTCATCGTGTTTAATCTAAAATTGTAATCAAAACATTAAAATATATTTCAGTTAGATTAGCATAAAAAAACAATGATTTTATTTTGGTTTATCAGCTGATATTGACGTTAACTGACAACCAAGACAAACATTTGCAAACATCTGATAAAGCTGGATGTGTCTAGTCGACCGCTAAACGGATGAATAAAATTAATTAATCGTCCGGTTACAAGAAACAAAAATTTAATTTTGACAAATCTGAACCACTTTGATGGTTCTCAGATAAATGAAAATAGCTTAAAATATTTAATCGAAAATTTATGTGTCCCTTGAATGCTATTTATACCTTGAAATATCTTGATTAAATAACGGATGATTAATATATTTTATTCATCCGTTCAGCAGACCACTAGACACTTCACCCTTTTTAAATGTGACCTGTGAATGTGACGTAATAATTGTCACTGTCAAAAGGGCAGTCCGAATGAAATGAAAATAAAATGTTTTTAGAACATTTTACAGGTATATTATACGAAATTAACTTAATGGATACAATAACAGCAGCAGAATCAACTGACCCGAGACTAGATTAACGACTAATGTAGCTAGTTTAAAGAAATCGTATTTTATAACCTCAAAAAATTCTCAAAAATAGGATGAGTATACCCGCGACAAAGTACTTTATTCCTGGCAAGATTAATTGGCAAGAGTTCGTTTGCGGATGGGGCGCAGCCTTTGTGAATGTAGGAGTTACTTATCCTATCAATAAACTGATATTTCGACAGGTAGTCAAGTTAAATTCTGCGATTTATGACTAATATAGTTGTTTTTCAGATGTTACATGGTATTGAAGCAAAAAGTGCATTTCTACAGTTGAAAAATGAAGGATTTTACTACCTATACCGAGGAATATTACCGCCCCTTTGTCAAAAGACTCTTTCACTATCGATTATGTTTGGAGTGTTTGAGGAGGTTAGACAACCTTTAGTCAAAATAGGAATAAACCCTTATATATCAAAAGTAGTAGGCGCTCTAGTCTCAGGATCTACAGAGGCATTTCTAATGCCTTTTGAAAGAATCCAAACACTGCTAGCAAATGCACATTATCACGACGAATTCAAGAACACAGCACACGCATTTAAAGCTTTAAGGAAGTTTGGTATCGGGGAGTATTACAGAGGACTCACACCGATCTTGTTACGAAACGGTCCATCAAACGCAGGATTCTTTATTTTACGAGAGGAAGTACAGTGTTATGTCCCGCATTATAACAATGAAATTATAAGGACTAGTGCAGAGTTTCTGTGTGGGGCTATGATCGGTGTGTTACTATCAAGTATTTTCTATCCACTAAACGTATTGAAGGTAGCAATGCAGAGTAAGATCGGTGGCGCATATGAGAATCCTTGGAAAGTATTATTGCAAGTGTACAGGGATCGGGGTGGTAAAATCCGGTATATTTACCACGGAGTACAGATGAATTGCACGCGAGCCTTTTTGAGTTGGGGCGTCATGAACACAGCCTACGAGCACATCAAGGCCATCGTATATTAATTTTGTATTGCCTTTTTTTATTAAATATGTATTTATATTGTTGATGAGATTTATCTATTTTTGTTATTTTAATTTTAAGAGTAAATATAAATGTTTTAGCTGTTTTTCTGTGTATTTAGTTGCAAGATTTTCTGTTTTTGCCCATGCCCATATACATTTTTGCCTTGTAATAGAGGGATATTTAAACGAGGATTATAGATGTTTTAAAATAATTAAAAAGTTGTGTTGTGGCGCCATCTGTGTAGAATCAATAAATCAAAGAATATACCTAGCTAGAAAAAGAATGGACTCTACCATACTGAAAAATGGTCCTACAGAAGTGGCGCCATCTATTGAGTAGGGATTGTTTTAAACGGATCGAAGCGCGGGTTTTTTAAATGAGCGTATTTATTGAATTTTAGTCTAAAATAATTAAATTTGATTGTTGGGTCTTATTTTTTACACAAATTCAACAATACTAATAACAAGTATTGTTGTGATGTGTAAAAAATAAGATTTAACAGTATAATTTATACAATTAGTAAATAAAATTAAAGCCAAACATGTGTAAATATTATTTATTATTTAAAGTTTTTCTTTATAAGTCAAATAGTTAAACATCGTTTATTATAATAAAACAAGACCAACGTAATACACCCAAAGTTTTGTAAATGGAGTAAATATAAGTAGGTACTTAAATGATGGCAAAAATAGACTTACATTATATTTTTAGGGCCACATACAAAAGGAATTGTCTAATTAAAACACATATAACAAATTATAGTTTGAAAAACGTTTTGATAATCATTTGATAATATTATGATTGGCGCTATGACCATTGCCTGGAAACTTATATGGTGAAATTTTGATAAAATAATTTAGTACATACTAAAAACACGGTATGTCGCTAGTGGTAGAAATAATAATTTTTAGAGGTTACTAGTTTATTTGGTTGCCTGTGATATGCATATACAGGGTATTTCCTAATTAATCTAAAAAATAAAAAATCGTTAGAAAACGGATTAAGGCGGGCTCTTAATAAGTATATTTATTTTTTTCTCGACAACCGTTTGATGAACAAGAAAAACTCAAAAGATCAATTTTGTTGAAAAAGGATGGCCAGTCAAAGAAAAAATATATTTTCTTTAAAAAAGCAGTGGTGTACCATTTATGTTTAGCAAAAAAATCGATTTTTTTTTAAATTTTTAACACCCTATAGATCAGAAAGGAAGTACTTTAGACCCAATGGTTATATAAAAATTGTTTTAAGAACACATAAGGAAACACACCACAATTTTTTTTAGACTAATTAGAAAATACCCTGTATTCTGTCAACTTGACAATGATTGCTGATAAAGCAATTTTTCAATTTCAATTTCAAAAGTAAATAAAATAAAAAAAATTGTGTAAATATAAGATAGAAATACATCCATTTAAACAACAAACAGTATTCAGAAAAATAGGTGTAAACAATTAAGTAAAATAACATATACAATATACAGAATAAAGAGAAAATTAACAATAACGCTAAAAAGAATAAGTCAGACTAACAAGCAATTCTAGACTCTAAACACTAATATCAAGGGAGCCCCGGTAGAATTCGTCAACGCTGTAAAATGCCCTATTTAAAAGTTCCCTTTTCAGTAGTCTCCGGAAGGTTTTTATGGAATTAACCAATCTTAAAGCAACCGGCAGATGATTAAAGATCTTTCGGCCCTCATATATTATAGATCTTTTGACCAATGTGCTATTTGGAAGTGGTAAGGGCAGATTCAGGGTTTGGCGGGTAACAATATTGGGTATAGGACCCTGTAGTCTGAGACGATTTTTAAAAATAAGGGATGATGTTTCCAGAATAAAAAGACATGGTAGTGTAAGAATTTTTTGAGCTTTGAAGTGTTGTCTACAGGATTCGTTAAGTGGTACATTTACAATAAATCGTACGGCCTTTTTTTGTAAAAAAAAAGAATGTTTAGTAGACCCTGATTCAAAAAATACCTTTTCAGTGAAATAAGCCCCATTTTCGCAGGAAAAATTTTGATTTTTATTGAATTTGGGCCTGTGTCTGCAAATACCGATTTATTTTTTAATTTTCTATCTATCTAAATTTTAAATATCGTAGTCAGAAATAGTTTTATTATTTATTAACTGTAAAAATGGTGTTTTCTTGTTGTGTTGCATCTTGCAAAGAAACTAACAAAACTGCAAAAATGCACGTGTTTCCAAAAGACCATAAAGTATGTATCTTAGATAAAAGAAAAATATATAGTATGTATTCGTTGTTTGATTTTTTTTCGTTCGCTTTAAAATCTATAAATCTCGGTCTATTCATTAGACAGCCAGTCGACTTACGATCATTTACATGAAACTCTGTAAAATAATTAAAAAAATAAACTGTAAAATATCAATCAAATATCAATGTAACTTTAAAAATAAATCCTTTGAATTCAAATATAAACATAAAAAACATTTACAGCAGAAAAGGCGAAGGCGCTGGGTTAAACATAGTCTCTACTAAAAACACGGAGGGGCGCTTTGACCCAAAATTTTATCATTAAGTTTCATATCTATCTTAATAGTAGATTATTTTCTTTTATCTATGGCTATGACAACGACAATATTTTTTGAGAATTTTACAATAGTATGACAATGGCCGTTGGAAACTATGAAAACTACAAAAAAAAAATTGATTTAGCGCCATCTGGCAGTAACTAGTAGCAACTTCTTAACCTAAAAATTAATTGCACTACCACCTAGCGCCTGAGGCAGGAACTATTTTATTTGAAATTTCCGTGGAAACGGTGGAACCGCTTTTGCTATTTCACTTTCCCGCCCCTGCAATAAATTATATTCTATGTGTATTAGAGTTTTCTATTTATACAGATATTCTAAACTTGTAGTTAGGTTATTATTACCTAGATGGCGCTACACAAATATTGGATTTTTGCGCCATCTGTGAGGTTCTTGAGTAAGTTCTGTCTGAATTATAGTTTTCTATTTATTTTTTCTTAGCGTCAAGTTGGGTAATTATCGGTTAGATGGCAACACATATCTAGCTAAATAGAGCTAAATTAATTTTTGGAGGTGATTTCGAAAGGCCGGTTTTTTCTTAAAAAAGTAATATAGATTTTAAACTAATATAGGCTAATATTGAATAAAGTTTTTGAAAATGCTTGTTTCTTAGTTAGGGAGGAGTGTGTTTTGCGGTCCTATAAAATATATTGCTGTTTATTAAGCTTTAAAACTAAAAGAATTTCGGACCTCTATTGTCTTTATTTAGTTTGATTAACCCAACGTTTCAGTCAGAAGAGTCACAGACCGTCCTCAAGTTTATATGTAACTACGACTTAGCAAGCACAAAAACCTGTAGGTACAAAAAGGTGAAACGATGAAGTGGACAACCACACGGTTGACTGACGGTCAGAGACCCTTATTCTGACCAAAACTTTGTGTTAATAAAAAGAAATAACTACTACTACTGCCATTACTCGCTGACGCATATTTGACACGCATCGGATGGTTACGCAAGGCGTTATCTTTCAGGCAGATACTTTTCTATGACTGAAGAGTCCAATACGTGATCGGTATCTTTCTTCCGCACTCCGGACTTCCGGACATTCAAAAATCTCATTGCCTTGTTGTCTCTTTACATTTTGGTTGTCGCTAATAACTGAGTTTACAGTTCTTCTTCATTGCGTTCTATCTTAAGCGGGATTTAGTAATCAAGACTTGAGCGCTCTCGCAGTCAACTCGCAGTCTCGGCAACTTTTGTTTAACGTGTTCGTGTGCCGGCGGTACGGCACCCAGGTTTCACTGCCATATAACATGGGAAAGAAGAACAACCATTACAGAATAGTAAAAAATTTCAAAGATTGTTCTGTCATCTTCATTTCATATGATTATTACATTTATTGATTTCCTTTATCTTTGCGGTTCACCTCTTAACTAGTAGATTGTCATCATTCTATCTATAACAACACTTACTTATTAATTCCAAAATCTGGACCCCTATAATAGACTCAATTCCAGTTATTTCAATTAGCTGCATAGAGTAAACCCTACACTATTATACACGCTGTCACTAATTTCAATCTGTCTCCCCCTTCGTGGACGGCACGCTGCCAGTTCTTAATCGGACACTGAGGCCAAGTAATTCATCCGCTAGATAAATCTGGAGGCCTAAGACTAAGGGGGAAGCACAGCTACTACGCCCCCTCGATTAGAGACGAACGACGCTCGAGTATTTGTCACTGAACTGTCAGGGTTTGGGGAAAATGTACGAAAAACTGTACATTCTAGAAAGGCAATATTTTTATTTAAGCTTCTTTTTATTAAGAAATAGCCTTTATAAACGATATACCATAATGGACACTTCATCTGCGTGGTCTGTATCTCAATGTGTGCGACAGAGATAAATATAAATGACCGGTTGACAGACAGAGAGACAAAATAAAAAGCGGCATACAGTGTCGCCGATTTTTACATGTGTAGAAAAAAATTAACTAGGTATTTTAAAAATTTTCATATACAGTATGTTCCCGGATTGTCTTTACAAGAGGAAACACTTTTTTATTATTGACATTTTAAGAAAAATGCATTCTTCATAAAAAAATTTGCTTGTTCTAAAATGGCTAATCCCGTTTATACTTTTCCAAATTTCCATACCGTTTTGGAAAAAATTAAGAAAGACATGAAAATATGGCTGAATTGTGCGTCTTTAACATTTTAAAACAAGAAAATACATTACGTTAATTAAAATTCTATGAATTACGATCTGTCAAATAATGAAAAAGAAAGTTATATCATCATAGAAAAGCGTTTTAATTTTTAGGACTTCTCTAAAACAGTGTGGAGATTTGGAAAAGTATAAACGGGATTAACCATTTTAGAACAAGCAAAACTTTTCATGGAGAATGCATTTTTCTCAAAATGTCAATAATAAAAAGTTTTTCTTCTTGTAAAGACAATCCGGGGATATACTGTATATCTAATGTGTATCTAATATTTTATTGAGCTCCCTTTTGTACGAAAACTGGTACATTTACTCATCCATTTGCGTACAAATCGATAGAGATTAAGTAGCCGATAGAGAATGATCCGATTCTAATTGGGATTAGTGCGCTAA